TGGATACAAAACATTACGGAGTTTTGGAGATTTTTCTATCTGAACATTCCTTGTCTTAGAGTAAATGTTGGTTTAATCTTGATGAGTTCCTCAAGCGAAGAATTCACGCATAAGTAGGAAAACTCAAAAACAGATGTTACTGTTGGTTTCCGGCGGCCATATTTGTGCCCCTGAAAGGGACACAAACATACTCAAACATGGCGTTTCCATACAAAGCTTTATAAATTTGGGTAAAACGTTTTTCCGAATTTCTCTCATATGAACTGTCGCATAGAACTGATTCTTGCCAACGCGTTTTGTCTATTTATCTTCTTTAATTTCCCAGATTCTAGACTTTCTGTATTAAAAGGTTTCCACTTTTATTTCTGCATTCTCACGTGAGTGAAAACCGAGAATTCTTGTGCGATAAATTGCTTTGAAATCTCACGTGACTTCTTGGTGCGCATAATAAAGAGGCAGTTACTGAAGCTAAACGAGACTTACCGGTAAGTTTGAAGTTTGATTGGGATCCTGCCGAGTCACCTATAGCACAAGGAGACATTCCCTTACCTGATACTGGGGGAACTCTGGCTCTTGTGCTTAAACTGATCAGCACACTCATGGCTGCCTTTAAAAAAAAAATGAAGTGGGGAAAGGGGTCCCTATTAGCCTCTTGTAAGGGAGTACTCCCCGGGTCTGCATGAGATGTACATTCACACATGCAGCCGGCACGTGAAACTGTTGAACTTTGCTCCCTTTCGTGATACTCGTAAACAGGTTTATAAAGTAAATCTTGTGGCTAAAATCAGGCAAAGTGCTTATTTATGTGTTATTTTTCATGTAAAGCACAAAACAGTACCATTTCTCACGGTTTTAACCTGATTTCTAATTCTTGGTAAAATCCAAGATGGCGACCATCGTCCACTGAGCAAAAATTAATTAAGAAAATAATTGTAAACGTGCAGCGTGCAACCATGGAGTTATGGATGCACGCGGGAGGTTGCTAAGCACGATAGAAGCGTAAGAGTCGCACGAGGCGATAGCCGAGTGTGACTATAGCTTCTTGAGTGCTTAGCAAACCTCCCAAGTGCATCCATAACTCCATGGTTGCACAGCTGCAACGTTTATCATTTCTTTTATAACATAATCAAAAGAGAAAAACATTATTTTCCATTTGCCTTCGGTTGAGTCATCGGTCCGCGTTCATGCATGTTCTATGTTTTTCAAAAACTTGCCTTTGAGTTTTTGTTTCGCTGAATCAGCCGTTCTCCGTCTTAAATTGCTAAACGTTTTTTATTGCTATTCTGAATGGCATCTGTCTACTTGCTCTTAATATTAGGGTAAAAACTTTGAGGGAAAACTATAGCTGCAACTATAAACACCAACTAAAAAGACTCTAAAAAATAAGCTAAAACTAAATAAATGAAATAATTATCAAGCTTATTTATGTGACAATTTTTGAGATAAACGTAATGTAGAAATGAGAAAATTTGACTGTAATTCCTTTAGAATAACAGGTAATACTAATTTTAAAAAGGAATTAACTAGCTTTGTATCGAAATCTGTCTGGGGAAATCCAGCTATGAAAGTCACAGCTGCAACTGAGATTCACAGCCGGCGCTGAAGCTGTTGTTTTTCGACCGTTCTCTGAACGACTGTTATAAATGAACACTGAGGAACAAAATAATACACACAGAAGTTATTGTTTGAAAAATTTATTTGAAAACCCAAATGTTTCTGTACTCAAATGAAATTCGCTTATTCCAGCGTAAGGTGCCCGTTTAAACTCAACTAAAATTTTTAATCGATGCGATGAAAACTTCACAACAAAGCTGTCTCGAATTTGAGCGTGTTTCCTAAAACATTTGCTTGAATTTAGCATCAGCTTGACCAGAAAGTCAATAACACAATGCTAACTGATAAAATTACATTTCAAACAGACTTTCTCTTCTATAAAAAACACACAAAATGTACCTTAAATCTTCGCTCGCTCGATTTTCTTTCAGCAGATTCTAGCCGCAAGGAAAACAGTGATTAATTCATCCAGGGCAAATTTGTCGCTTGATCTTTTGTCTTTTTTCCTTCAAAACGACAGCTTAGTATTTTCTTCAACTTCCACTTTTCATCTGTGCATTTCATCGGTGTATTTTACCGTCAGGAGAGGAGATTTGATTTTACCGCGCCAGCTCAGTATCTTGGCGTGCACCCACGGGCAAATGGCAGTGGCTAACTAACCAATCAGAGCGCGCGATTTACTTCTGTTATGTTATAATATCAGTGTGATACCGTGCGTTAAACCTCAAAGGCCAGTAAAAAGGAGGAGCGATTTTTTCAGTCTTTTGTTTACTGAGAAGAAGCGGGTTGATTTTATTTCTCTATTGTTTACTACGCTTTTCAGTACATGAATAATACGTGATTTTAATTCTAATAAGTCAATCCGTGTTCTAACGAATAACCTGAGATCAGGCCCAATTTGAGCGGTTCTCATACATTCTCTCTCTGAAATTTTTTTCGTTTCGTCTTGCCCGCCGGAATGTAATTTTCAAAGCGAAACGAAAATAGAGCCTGATCTCAGGTTATCTAACGAACGGCTGTAAAATATAAACTTCATTTGCATGTAGATTCAAAGTTCTCTAGCGCGAAATTTGAATGTAGCCATCTCGGAAACAGAATAACCAGTATATAAAAAATCACAACCAAAGCGCATGCGATCAAACAAACTGAATTGTAAGTTCTCAGGCGCTTCTATTCGAGCCTATATTTTAGTTCCTTACAGCAATATTAACGAGCACGAAGAGCATATTTTGCGTAAAAGTTGCTGCCACTAGGCTAATCCCGAAATAGAACACAAGGATGCAACTAGTAAACTCGTCTGTTCAGCACTTACCTCACACTACCACTACTGCGTCGTATGTTTCGTCCTGACTACTGTAAAACTCTTACCCACCCCCTGGGTTGAAATTGCTCCTTACTTCCGTCGCGCCGAAAATTCAAATATTATCGGAAAAAAAATGATCGGAAATGTTGAAATTTCCCGCGCTTGAAAGTTGTTGTTTTACGTTGATAGTTTTTGTCCTTACAAGGCAAGAAACGATCAAAAATAACAATACAGAACAATACCTATTGTTCTCGAATTCAGGTCGCTTTTCTTGATACGTTAAGATATTGTACAAGTAGTTCACTCAAATGGATTTTCATAGTAACAGTAGACAACTCCATCGTTCTCAAGTTTCAAAATCTCCGCGTCATCGTAATCTAGAAGATGAGTTAATACTTCAGTGGTGTGTTCACCTAAGATGGGGGGTGGAGAGGGGACGCCTTGGCAGGTTTGTCCGTTATACTCGACAGCAGGCCCTATAAAAAGACAAAAAGGCAACGAAAAAGTCTCAAGAATAACAGACTATCTTCTCGACGGCCGTTAAGTATCCTGCGAGCAGACCCTCTAGTGTAATTTCGGGAAAAAATCGGCGGCCGTAAGCGTTTAGGATAAGTGTGCCTGCTCGCAGGCTAACCTTAATGTAATAACTATGGCCTTGAAAGGGGTTTAATAATTTCTTTTTATAAGAAACGATATTAAGCCTATAGCCGGCTTAAATAACACTGTCCTGTTAAACAACAAAATTTCATTTATTGTAAGTATTATTAGTACTACAAAACATCCAAGTTTTTCTTTTTTTCTAGTATTCTGCGTTCGCAAAATAAGTTTTCCAGTTTTCATCCTCTCCCTCGCGCTTTTTTGGTGAGGAGAGCCCCGGAGCGGTAACTTGGTAATAACGAAACCACGTTATTGGAAAACAGCGGCGCGACTTTAGACTAGTTACCAGTGACTAACGTCCCAGCGGACATCATTATCTTGAGACGATACATCCTACCTGGTACTCTTATTCTGCCAGCCGTCGGGTGATCCAACTCCTGAACCATTCCTTTGTACTTCACCTGTAAAACGTTCCAAGGGCGTTCATTACAGACTTTTAGATTCGAAGAAGGGAACGACTACGCGGACTGGATTTGGCTTCATTTTTTTTTTTTGCGTATTCTCAAAAAATATACACCTCGTAAAGCTTCATTTCACTCTTTTTCACCAGAATAATTAGCACGGTTCTTTTTATTAAAGGAGATTATTTGTTAAGCCCTCTCCCGACTGCAAATTTATAAAACTTCTATTTTAATAACTTCTTTAGGCCACTGCGGGCATTCTCGCTAAAAGCCGTACTACAGTGACGACGGCTATCACGTTTTCCCGCCAAAATGACGCTGGTTCACGCGCGCGCAATACTTACTGCGCTTTTCAAAAACACGCGAACTCTAAAATTCAAAAGCCGCCTTCACTCATAATTAACAATCATAATTACGATCACAAGCAATGAACCTTGAAACACAGAAACACACAACACGGATTGAAATCCACCAATCACAGATCACAAACCTTGACCTTTTGAACCCGTTTAAGCAAAGCTCTGTTTCCTAAGAGGTCCGTTAAGATCATTGACGGCAGCGAAAAATGCAAATGTCAGTTGGTTTTTGAACTTCAAAGTTCGCGTGTTTATGAAAAGCGCAGTAAAGGTCTCTATTCCACAACAAAACTTACCTGTGGGTCCTCAAACACCTGTTTTATGCTATTAATAGGTCCACAAGGTATCCCAGATCCCTCAAATGCCTCGGCCCAGTCCTTTGTGGATCTTTTTTCAAAACTGCATTGGAGAAATGACAAATATTACGACGCCTTCTAGTAACTGCGGTTTGCGAACATAAACTATTTAAGGCAGATTATATTTGATATATAAATTCAATTTCGCTCTTCTTAAAAGATTTTCTGGGTACCAGCGAAAGGCTCTCACAAGAAGTTTTTTTTTTTAAGGAAAGGATTAACAAGTATCGTCACCTAAAGTCTCCCTTTGATCGTTGACAAAGGACTAATCCATTTAATATACAGCCCCCGAAACTGTTGACGAAATTTTCTGAAGGGGTATTAAAAAAAATGGAATTTCGCTGGTACCAAGACCAGTCGTTCTAACGGGAAGAAACAGAAAATCAAAAATGTCTCAGCCTATAAGACACCTCAGAGACATTTTCGAGGGTAAAAAGGTTTATCAGTGCAGTTTTTCTGAGTGCTTTAGGGAAAATGAGCATCTTTCTTGGAGCCAGGAAAATTTCAAAGTACTTCGTTAATGCAGGGGGCGGAGGGGGTGTATATAAAATGGTTTGCCCCAAAAGTAAACATCTTTAAGCAACTCACCATTCCTCTAAAATTAACAGTAGCTCCTTTCGATTTTCTACCCTTGCAGCGTTTGTACTGTACCGCGGGTCATCTGCCAGATTGCCTAAATCTAATAACTAAAACAGCAACCAAATCACAACCGGATTTAAGTGGTTTTAAACAGAGAGCCTGTATATATGTTGTGGTTCAATTGGGTGACAATCACTGATTTCTGAGCGATTCTTTCCTAAATAACGAGTGAACATAGTAACAAAACAAATCAAATACAAAATAGCAAGAAAACCGACGTGTCGATGTCATCATGACCTCCTTATGAATAACAAAATCGTTGTTGACAACAACATACTTAAACTTTGAAAACGTTGCCCAAATGATCAAGTTTAACTCCAATTATTTTCTATCCGTCCTTAAAGATCTTAAACAAATGTACTGTTTAACCATACTGTATGTGTAACAAAACCAGCCCTCTATGCCTTAACTACTCAACTTCTGCTAAATATTTCAGTAAAGGTACTAAGTCTTGGTGATCCTGCCACGAAAAACAAACAAAAAACACACAACTTACGTCACAAAGTCTTCTAAAGAAACCATCATTGCCAGCACCAACTAAGAAGTGTCCATCATTCGTTTTAAAAGCCTACGAAGACAAAGCAAAGTATATTCGAACTCTCTCTTGGGATCAGAGTTAAGTGGCCAACGAAGCGAGAGATGGAGAAGTGAAGGATTCGCACTGGGGTTACCCATCACTAATTAATGGCCGCACTATAAGACAGCATTTGCTATTGCTATTTGCGTTACAGTTTGTCTAAAATTGAGATAAACGCTGGTCAATTTTTTTTTGGTACAAACGTTGTTAAATTCAACACAAAGTGTTACACAACATCTTTACTGTTGATTACTTGGTAATTAATTGAGATACCAAGGCTACTGTTTGCACGTAAAACGTACCTACGTTCTTACCTGATATGGTACAATGCTATGATGTGCAGTACCATAACGCCCTGTTTCAAATCCAGCATTAAGGTAACTTGTTGCTACATGAGACAGCATAGCGACCTGAAAATAAGGTTTAAGAAAACGTTGGTGTTAGGGATATGAAATGGGTTAGCTTCTAAAAAATTCAATCAGGTGCTACGACGGTGCGTTGGTTAAGCGAACTGACTCGCCTTCAAATAAGATAACGTTTTGGAGCTGTCGGCATTACAGCCGATGATGATGATAGTGATGATGACGATGGTGACGTTGAGAGGAGGATGATGAGGATAATGAGGCGATCAGGATGATGATGACGACAGTGATGACGTTGATGATGATAATGATGACGATGACGACAATGATGACGTTGATGATGATGATAAGCGGATGATGATAACGATGATGATGACTTTTTGAACATCAGCCCCTAATCAGAAAGTGACTGGAGCTAACACGTTGCCTAGGATTGATGTGAAAGAAAACATCGCACTTACCATAAATATGGCATTGTTTTCCAAAGGTTTTAGACTGGTTATACCAGCACTTTCATATAAAAAAGAAAAAACTTAAAAATACATTGGTCGAACTATTTAGTGGTTACTCCTGCGGTGGGGACTCTTACATGAAAATGACGGCGATAGTCGTCGTTGAGCTGGTGGTAGAAATTGCATCTTTTGGACGCACTTTAATATACCCTGCATACAGAGGCTACATTTTCGCTGTGTGAGCTGTTGTACGCAAAAGCTACTTTTCACACGCCAGCTCACACAGCGAAAATGTAGCCCCTGCTAGCAGGGTAACTTTAATAAGGAGTTCCGGACGGAAGCTAGAGATTTTTACCCATAAAAATTGAGTTGGGTTGGGTTGGGTTGTGCGCAAAGAAATTCCTAAATATAAGTAACAAATGCCGTCATACTGTGTTGAAGTACTAAGACCCAATTCGTCTCCCTAAAGGGTCAAATAAAATCTGAGCCGTGCTCAAATTGGTCTCCTTTAGGGGTTTAATTCTAATGTTCCGACGAGCGTCCTCGGTTTCCCCCCTTATCCTAGTGGTTACTTTCCTTGAGCGGCTATTCTTAGCCTACGTGTAGCCGCACCCTCCCCCGTCTGTTCTTTATTTGTCGGGGGGAGGATGCGGTTACACGTAGGCTAGGCTATTATCTGCTTTTGCTGCAAACCTTTAATTTTCTGGCAAATTTTCAGGGCTAGTTGCCTTTTAGCATTTTATGGGATTAAGAGATATGAAGACCTGTGATGCTAGCAGTGAACAGTCGATTTTCTGACCCCGTCCTGTTCTTTGTCTTTGTATCAGTGCTGCCATGATGGCT